TTATTGGTCAAGGCAGTTACAGTGGTCCAGTTTCAAGAGGAGGATACATAGACCTCACCACTGCACCGGTAGAATTCCAATATCATATTGTAAGAATGGGAGCTATTTTTGTGGCCATCTGCCAGAGATACCTTGTGGCCACTGCCAGAAGTAGAAGTAAGTTATTGCCAAGTTCTTATTTTCTTTTAGGGTGGTGGGTTCATGGGATCTTGCTACATCATTAAAAACAGACAAGCAAACAATCAAGCATAAAAATAAATAATTAAGAACATTTGCGGATTAGTGAAGAGAATGGTCTTAAACCAAGTATTATGATTACTATACTTTTGTGTCCTTAAGTCCAATAAATAAATAAAAACAAACCTGAAGCTTATATTCATCTCCCTTAACTTGGATGCCCCAAATTTCTTAAATGTTCCTCATCTGATGTGCTTTTAAAGCTTCTCACCATCTTGGTCATGCTCTTCTGAACATTCTCCAGTTAATCAGCATTTGTGTTAAAGTGTCACAACAAGAGGGCAAAGATGGACTCTATCTAATGCAGAATACAGTGGACTATTTACTCTTATAATCTGTATAGATTATTTCTATTAATACTAAGATTTACATTAACTTTTTTAGTAACCATCTCACATCATTGGCTCATACTGAGCTGAGGTCTGTTGAAATCTTTGCATTGTTTTTTTTTATGCCATGCCATACCATACCATGTTTTTCACATCATTGAATCCAGATTTTCTCATCTTGAATTTTTAAATTGTTTTCACAAATCTGAAAGTCATTTACATTTCTCTGTTTAATTTTAAATAGATTGTTTTCAGTCCATTTTTCAGAACTTTGAAACAAAGTAGAATCTCCATTGTATTATCTAGTGTATTAACTGTCCTCACCAATTTTGTAACGTTCACACGTTTGATTAGTATGCTGATTATGTTTTGATCTAAGTTGATCAGAGGAGGGCAAAGAGTAAAACCCTGGTGGGTTTAGGATGTTGTGATTTGTTTTTAGTGAATCCAGGCTCTCCATCTTTCCTTTAAAAAAAAAAGATTTTATTTTTTGAAAGAGAGAGAGGGAGAGAGAGAGGGAGAGAGCATGAGCAAGGGGAGGGGTGGAGGGAGCAGGGAGCCCAACATGGGGCTCGATCCCAGAACTCTGAAACCATGACCTGAGCTGAAGGCAGACACTTAACTGCTTAACCGACTGAGCCACCCAGGTGCCCCCAGACTCTCTTTCTTTTTAAAGGGTAAACAATTCATTGACATATTTCTCATTTCAAGAGAAGGTGATTGTTTTATTTTGCCAGTCTATGGTTTTCAGAATCTATTTGAATTGATTTCCTCATTCAATCATTCACTCATTCATTCATTTCACGGACACTGTACTAGGTAAGATGCAATAAAAGTAAATAAGTAAAAAAAAAAAAAAAGCAAATAAGATGTAGCCTTTAACTTCAAAGACCTTGTATTTTGTTTCTCCTGCTCCCCACTCCTTTGGAAATCAGGGTTTTGGGTATCTTAGGTCTTCTGGCACAGCTCCATCATTTCGCTTAAAGTGCTTAAAATGGGATCAGATTTATGAATGTTATATTGGGAAGACAAGGGTAGGGTAAGAGGGCAGGAAATTGCCACCTCACTGAGCAAGTCTTTGTGGAGAAGATGGAATTTCAGGAAGTCTTAAAACACTTGATGAATTTTGTTTAAATCTTGACTGAATTTTGTTAGATTTGACATAATACAGAAATACAGTAGAACTTAGAACTAATTATTAACTTGGTCTGAAACACATAGTAAGTGTAAACATTTTTACCGCTGTTGGAATAAATCTTAGAATGTGAGGACTAGCATGCATCTCTCACTAAAACTAGTTTTCTTAAAAAAGGAATTAGCCTTATTAAATTTCCCACTGAAAGTTTTATTTTGATATTCTGTATGTGCACGTAATACGAGGCATAAAAACTTCTGGAAATAGTGCCTCAGGCATTGAAGAAACAAAGTTTACACATTTTATTGTAGAACCCACTTTTTTCTTCAAAGCAGTAATTTTTACTGCCTGGTTTTGCTCCATGATTGTGCTAATAAATCTATAGGGATAAGAAATTGAGATTTTTACTAGAAGTGAGCCAAGTGTAACTCTTTCCCAAAACTTAAGTATTAGCACTGTCATTTTGCTACTTAGATGGACTTCATTTTACCACTCAGTTATTCTTTCCAACCCCAATTTTGCCCTTTATGCCAGGTATGTGTGTGGGGGCATTTTGCAACTGTTTTCTTACTTGTCTGCCCCTTCCCGGTGATCTAGCAGTTTGTTCTTTCAAAGTGGAAGGGGGCAAAAAATAGACTGCCATGGTTCCCTTTCCTTAGTTTTGTTGTTTCTCTTCTCAAAGACTAGTATTGGCCAAGTTAAAGGTGGTGAGAAGCATTGAATTTGGGATGGCTTTAGTGACAAAGTAGTTTTTCTTAGGGCTTCTTAGAAGCAATCAGTCATTGAGAGATTCTTAAAGAGAAAGGAAACAAATAATACAAAGAAGGTGGACATGGTGAGGCTGTAGAAATTGTTGCCACATATTCAAGGATATTTCTTCAATTACTATGCTATTGAATAAAGTCCTGGGCTGATTTCTCTGCCTCCAAAGAAAGACTACTCTTTTTATTTTTTTTTAAAGATTTTATTTATTTATTTGAGAGAGCACGAGCGGGGGGAGCGGCAGGCAGAGGGAGAAGCAGACTCCCTGCTAAGCAGGGAGCCCGATGTGGGACTTGATCCCAGGACCCCGGGATAATGATCTGAGGCAGACGTTTAACCGACTGAGCCACCCAGGCGCCCCAAAAGTCTACTCTTAATATTATTTCTTTTCTTGGTTTTTTTTGGGGGAAAGAGGGTAAGGGGATGTGGGGACCAGAGGCAGGGCCAGGAGGGATGTTGAAGAAGGAAAGGACAGCACGGAAGTAGGGAAAGGAAGGGGAGGTGGAGGTAGGATGCCTTGTATATCTGTAGAAACTGAAATGAGATTTCTTATTAAATTCCAGACTTGGGGGGGTGCCTGGGTGGCTCAGTCGGTTAAGCATCTGCCTTCGGTTCAGGTCAGGATCCCAGGGTCCTGGGATCGAGTGCCGCATTGGGCTCCCTGCTTGGCAGGGAGCCTGCTTCTCCCTCTCCAGCTCCCCTCTGCTTGTGTTCCTTCTCTCACTGTCTCTCTCTGCCAAATAAATAAATAAAATCTTAAAAAAAAATTCCAGACTTGGAGTGCCTGGGTAGCTCAGATGGTTAAGCGTCTGCCTTCAGCTCAGGTTGTGATCTCCAGGTCCTAGGATCGAACCCTACGTTGGACACCTCGCTCAGTGGGGAGTCTGCTTCTCCCTCTGCCTCTTCCCCTGCTCATGTGCATTCTCTCTCTCTCTCAAATAAATAAATAAATAAATAAATCCTTAAAAAAATTCCAAACTTGAAGGCAATTTGGGGACAATATTGATGGCCAATACCATGTCACACATTATGGTGTTGGGTATTGTAAGGCAAATTCAGAACTTCTGAAATTCTCTCTATTCTACTATGATAGAGAAGGAAGATGGAAAATGGCTTTGAACAGGCTCCTTTACTTGGTCAGTGGGAAGGTGAGCAGGGCATATTGGCAAGTTACGATTCATTGATTTATAAATTATTTACTAAAATTAAATATATACTTCCTTTTTGGACATAGCATGAGCTCATAAACTTGAAAGATGACATTTGCCTTTCAGAAAGCCTCTTATAGGGGCGCCTGGGTGGCCCAGCCATTAAGCGTCTGCCTTCGGCTCAGGTCATGATCTCAGGGTCCTGGGATCGAGCCCCGCATCTGGCTCCCTGCTCCGCGGGAAGCCTGCTTCTCCCTCTCCCACTCCCCTTGCTTGTGTTCCCTCTCTTGCTGTGTCTCTCTCTGTCAAATAAAGAAAATCTTTAAAAAAAAAAAAAAAAGAAAGCCTCTTATAGAAGTTGATACATACATTTATTGTTAATATATTGACTATGGTAAAATTATGGTAGTAAAGCTTCTGTCTTATAACCTACTCTTTTCAAGTGATTCATCATCTGTTACCTTAGTAGATACACTGTTTATATTTAACTTTCCTATCCCATGTTTTTATCCTTTATTTAGTCTTTAACTTACCCTCAGAAGTCTCCCATCGTCGACTGAGGTTTTTAAGACAAGAAACAACTCTTATTATTTTTCCAAAGAAAATTAATAATAAAGAGGTACCTGATCTCATCAATCTTTTTTACCCTTTTTCCGAATAATGAATCCATTTGAAAATCTGTTGAAACTATGAGCCTTCTCTTCCTAAAATATATATAGCCAATTTTGCACACAGTTTCAGGGGGGATAAAATTTCCTTAAAGGTGCAGGGGTCCCAGCTTAATACACTTTATTTGGGATGTGGGGCAGCAAGAGTGAGCGTGAACTATATTGTTAGGGACTAGACATAGAGATAGCTCTGGTACAGGAACAGCAGGAGACAGGTGTTGTACATTTTTGCACAGAATATTTCTTGATGGTGTGGGAGCTTCTTTAATTAAAATATGATGAGAACAACTGGCCTCCAGCTAGCATTGGCAACACAACAAGAATGTCAATAAATGCATCACAGAAGAAAACTTCCAGCCACAGCTGTTTCTAATGGAGACTCCGAGTCTGTAGCCCTACAGACAAGAGCTTCAACTTTTCCATTCTGCTCACACTTGCTGTAGCATCTTTAATGTTGAAAATAAACTGAGAACTTCCCCAGAATTGTTAAAAATACCACCAAGGGCATTTAGGCTTTGTAAAACACTGGAAAAGTCATTAATTCCAAACAACTCATCACATGTCTCGTTGTGAGTCACTGAGCAAACAAAAAAACGAGCTCCAGGACTCATGACTTGGTTGTCTCCTTTAACTAGTAGACCCCAATCCCACTGGCAGCGGGCAAGGGCTTGGCTCCAGGAGGCAATGCCCAAAGTGGAGGGCAGGGAGCCCTGGCGAGCACATAATGGCAGCTCCCGAGACAAACACATGATGCGATGCATCCCAGATGGGTCAGGAATGATCCTGGGACAAGTCAGAACACGGGGCTTCTGGTTTTATTCCCCACATTTGGCAGTCACCCCTCTCTGCTCTCGGTTTCCTTAGCTTTAAAATGGGACTAAAGTGAGAGTGAAGCAAGAAAGTAAAGTGTTTTGAAACCTGCAAATCATTAATCTAATGGAAGGCATTATAATTTCTCCACTTTCACATAATTGGAAAATGACGGTAAGTAAAATACATCCCCCAGTGCCTTTTCTAGTGTCGGTAACCTACTTTGAAGTCAGAGGAAGCTCTAAAGCAGGCACAATATGGGAACTTATATACAGCAGTCCCCTCTTATCCATGGATTTGCTTTCTGCTTTTTCAGCGGGGAGTGGTCAACTGTGGTTTGAATCAGGTAATCCTCCTTCTGAGGGATCCTCGGGTCCAACGTGCCTGCGTCACTCCCCTCACTTCATCTCCTCACATAGCCACTTTATCACCCCATATCATCACAAGAAGGGTGAGTACAGTACAGTAAGATGCTTTGAGAGAGAGACCACATTCACATAACTTTTATTCCATATATTGATCTGTTTTATTATTAGTTATTGTTGTTAATCTCTTACTGTGTCTGATTTGTAAATTAAACTATCATGGGTAGCTCTGTATAGGAAAAAAACATATATTGGGCTTGATACTATCTACGGTTTCAGGCATCCACTGGGGATCTTGGGACGAGTTCCCGTGAATAAGGAGGGACTACTGTATACTTATTCCTATTCCTGGTGGGGAAAGAAGGGCTTGAAAATGTAAACAAACATGTAACTACAACACATTCCCTTTATTCTTTTCTCATAATGGATCTGAGTAAAATTTGTTCTACAGTCTTGATTAAAAAGAAAGAAGTGAGCAATTCACCTGAACGGAAAGGGAAGAGAATGAAATTTTTGAAAGTTCATTATGTGCCAGACACATTACATATTTTATCTCATATAATCCCTACAACCACACAGGAAGAAAGTAGTATGTTTCTTATTTTACAGAGAAAGCTGCAGCCTGGCGAGGTCAGGTGGTTTTCTTACCACTCAGCTGGGTATCAAATCTAGGATTTAAATCCAAGCCTGTCCAACTCCAAAGCATATGTTCTTCCTACATACATACCATGGTCCACCCTAAGCATTTTATTGTGAAAAAAGGACAAATTTGATTAAACATAGTAAAAGGAATAGGCCAGTTCATTTACCAATTCAATAAGACTTTCTTAAATATGTATTATATATGGGACACTGACCTAAGTACTAGAAATACAAAGATACAATAAGAGAGCACTTGTTCACAACAAAAGCTTCTTGAATTCATCTACATTGATCAAAAAAGAGAACTTCATTTAAAAAAAGATGGAAGCAACTCCCAAGCATGATTCAAATCTTTTTAACTAACAGGGAGCTTTTATTTCATGAAGTCTCTCAATATATTAACATAGGATCATCTAAAACTAAGAATTTCTTCAAATATCTTGAGATCTCCATCTCCAAACCTCATGCCACATCTGAAGTTTTAACTGGAGTGATTTCATACACCTTTATGGTCAAAAGAGAGTTGTCTATCATGTGGGCTGACAAAGACTACTCAAATGTCTATGTGGCAGGAGCCAGGAGAGTCTTGAATAATTAGATTCAGGTTCAGTAAATTAAGATTAAGATGTCCCTGAATTTTGAACCACTATGTTGTGAGACAATGTCTTATCATGTCAGTTGAGCTATATTTAAAAAAGTATTTCTTTTTTTTGGTGCCGACCGTGAGTATCATCACTGCCTAGACATTTTGGACTTTGTTTCAGAAGGAATTCCAAATATTACTTATAAGAAGCCAACTCTAATCTCTTAATGACAAAATGTATCCCCAACCACTGAGAATAAGGTAAAATGGCAAAACAAACGCAATGCTTTTCACTTGAAGGATCTGCCAGCAGAGGGCAATATTAGTTTTCACACTTTTCCTAATACCTCTACTGAACCTAAACCGTTAAGTATAAAATAGCTATTTTAGTAGAAACCTTAGGTTGTAATTTGTTGTTGTTGTTCTATGCAAATAAGACTAGTAACATAGTAAAAGCAAAGATAAGGCATAATGTTGATTATTAAAATTCCAACGTCTCTGATAAGAATTAATGAAAACTAGAAAACTCACAAGAGGTCTAGGTATTTGTTGATTATAATGCAGGTGGGAGGTTATCAACTCTTTATGGTTATTTTCCTAGTGTTTAACATATAGAAGGTTCTCAGTGACTTTTCATTGAATGACTTATGAGCAAATTAATGTTGATCACATATATACATATGTGGGTTGGGATGGAAGCTGAGGGTTGGATGAAAACTTCTCACACTTCCCTTTCATTAAGAATTCAATCATTTTTGTGCATGGTTTCTCTGAATGCTTCCACTACCACCTTGGAAAGGAGTTTGGTCTTTCTGAAAATTTTAGGGCAATCATAAATCAATGAGCTTAATCTTCATAGCTTTGCATTAGTGGAAGATAAATGCTATTCCTGAATTTTCTGTAGGAGAGTTCTGAGGCTTTTATAAGATTGGCAAATATTGGATTTATGAGAAGTAAAATTAGGAAAATTAAAATATTGTTGATTAATTGCTGGTTGAATTAAATGAGCCACTTGATAGAAATAAAGTCACAAAAACTGAAACTATGATTTTCTTAAGGCTGAATTCACTTGAGAGATATAACACAAATTGTGAGTCAGTGTGCATCTGGATGTCTATGAATCTTATTTTGTCAATTTTGGGGTGCAGTTATTTTATCATTGTTTATTTTGTTCCTTACATAGGGTGACAGCAGCAATGTTGGGAGTTTGAATTAGTTGGCATAATGCCATTTTTTCCCAACATCTGTTAAATATGGTTCTAATTTTATACTCTGTTTCAGCATATAGCTAAATATTTAGCATTAAAAAATGTCCTTTGGGGATGACTGAATGAGTTTTGATGCTTCCAAAAATTCATTGTGCATTTGTGTTTAGAGAATCAACTTTAAGGCATAAACTACAAGCCCAGTGGGAAGAAACCTTTTTCTGTGCACTCTTGATGTTTAGTTTTTTGGACAGCCTCTAAGTCACAGCAAAAGAAATTTGTAGAGATGCTTTAAATGTAGTACAGAAAATCGTCTACTGAGAGACTTGGGATTAGACACAGTGTGAGTACAAGGATTTTGCTGAAATTTTGTCGATCACATCTCAGCAAAGTTTTCCCACTCGAGTCATTTTTTTTTTTAAAGATTTTATTTATTTATTTGACAGAGAGAGACACAGCAGAAGAGGGAACACAAGCAGGGGGAGTGAGAGAGGGAGAAGCAGGCTTCCCGCGGAGCAGGGAGCCCGATGTGGGGCTCGATCCCAGGACCCTGGGATCATGACCTGAGCCGAAGGCAGACGCTTAACGACTGAGCCACCCAGGTGCCCCTACTCAAGTCATTTTTAGGTTAAGGCAGCTCGAGTGCCATAAGAAAATAACACAGTTGATCTATCATCAATAGGATATTCTGTGTAAGTCGTTTTTCTAGAGAGCGATTTAGGTGTATGCTATCTTGGCACACTCTTCTTATACCACATCGACTAATGGCCACAAGGCCACAAGCCGGTTTTGGGCTGGAGCTTGTCACCAATGCCATAGTCAAATGAAGTGATACAGATGCTGATGACTCTGGTTTCGTTAGCAGTCTGTTCTGATTGAGATAGCAGTTGCAATTTATTATAGATAGGGCTTTTTTTTTTTAATCACAAATCTCTTCTATCCTCAGTGTTTCAGTAATAACCCTGTACTTTCTAAGCTTTGCTTGAGCAGCAATGATTTGCCACATGGCAGCGAGCGACAGTAGCATTATTGCTTTAGGGTACATTTTCAATGTTTATTTATGCTATATAATGCCTCTAGTCTGATTTCCAATAGGCCCAGTAGAATTTCTTTCAGATGCTCAGTCTTTGAAGTTTAAGACATTACTCTGTTGGTAAAATATTCTCACGAATTACCATGAATTATTTAATTCACCTCATTGTATGAATGACAAATGACTAATAAAAATTACTTGGATTTTCTTGATGCTATCATATTCATGACTCATTAAAAATGGTTTGGGGGGCTACTTTTGCTATTTGTTTTATTTTTTAAATAACCTTTTTATTTTACAATAATTTTAGACTTGTAGAAAGATAATGCAGATAGAACAGAAAGAAAGTTCCTTTATACTCTATATCCAATTTCCCGTAGTGTTAACATCTTTCATTGTTATGGTAGATTTATTACAACTAATGAAACAATATTAACTAAATATTAACTAAACTCCACCATATTTTACTCATATTTGCTCGGTTTTTACCTAGTACTCCTTTCCTGTTCCAGGATCCCATGAAGGATAGCATTTGCACATTAGGATTCTCTGACTGTGACAAGAAGTCTTGAGGGGGATTCTTAGATAGAAGATGACAGATGCTATTCTCATCACATCATATCAACAGTATGTGCTATCAATGTGACTTTTCATTGTTGATGTTAATCTTGATCACCTGGTGGAGTTAGCATTGGCCATGTTTCTCCTTTGTAAAGTTATTTCCCCTTTTCTTTACTGTATTCTTGAGGGGTAAGTCACTACGTGCAGCCCACATTTAAGGGATAGGTATTTATCTTCCATCTTTTTGACATGGGGTTATGCATATATATTATTTGGAACTCTTCTGCATGGGAAAACAATCCTTATTTATTTATTCAGTTATTTATTTGTATCCTAATTGACTCAAGGATATTTATTTCATACTGTGGGGTATAATCAATATTATGTTATGTTTTTGCTCAAATTGTTCCAACTTTGGCCACTGGAAGTTCTTCTCAGTTGGTTTCTGTATCCCTTTGACATATCTCACCATTGTTTATGTGTGTTCGTGTATCTTTGTTTTGTTTTGCATTTCCTTCATTTATGGCCCTGTAAGATGCTCTAAGCTCATCTTGTATATTCTCTGTCCCAGAGTTAGAATCAGTCATTTCTCCAAGGAGCTCTGGTTTCTTTTATTGGAAATTGCCATTAGAAACAAAGATTTGGGCACTAAGTGTACTCACTGCTATTGACATGCCATGTTACCTGTCATTGTTTCTAGGTTCTCTCAACTGACAGAGCAAGGAAATACATGTGTGTATATTAACCTGCATATATACACATCTTAGTAAGTATTTTTACATACATCTATAAGTACTGTAATAAGTCAAACTTGGGTTCAATCTATTTTTTTTGGCATTTTTTTTGATGTTCTTTTCTTTATTTCTCAAAGTAGTAAGAAGGATGTTGAGTTCCATGGGTTATGGATAGTAAAGTTGTATGCTCTGTTGTGAGCTTCGCTCAGCTTGGCTCCTGTCATCTCCCCACGCCAGTTCTCTCTCAGGTAGAATTCAGTCCTCCTGTCCTTCCACATATTCAGACGCTTGACATTTACCTGGTATTGCTGGAGGCTGGGAAGTCCAGATTGAGGTGCTGGCTGGCTGGCAGACTGGGTGTCTCCTTGAGGACCACTTCCTGGTTCCTGTGTTAGAGTTGGAGACATTCTGAATGTCTCCAACTCTAACCTGTTATCACAGTTTCACACTAGCCTCCTTTTTACTTAAATTAAAAAAAAAAAAAGATTTTTAACTGAGTATAGGCTGAAAATAAAAAGGAAGGAAAGAAAGAAAGAAGATTGGTTTTCATGATACATTCCCTTATTTCTTTAAAGGAACCTGGAATTATTTATTATATGTTGGTTAATGTATTTTGAATATAACTAAGGTATTTAAATAAAAAATTAAAGGCAGAAAGCTGAATCCAGTTTACTATTGAAGCCAGCACCTTTCTCCTTTCATTAATTGGTATAGGAAAAAAAAACACAAAAACATTGTGGAAGGTTGTGACCAGCTGTAGTTCTTCTGAAAACAGAAGAAAGAGGATTAAATTATATTAGAAGAAATATAAGGAGGAAATATTCTGATAAAGAGAGTTGCTAAATGTTAGAATGTAAGATAAGAAGTTAGAATTTTTCCTCTGTTTTTTAAAATTAGGACAGATTCCCAGCTGTCTAGAATAGTAGGTGTTTTCTGATTTTCAAAGCTCTTTTCCCTCCCTGAATTCTGACACTCTTTACATCTGTAATCAAAACCTTAGCCTAGGAAAGCCCCTACTCTGAAGATGTGGGAGGAAGGTGTGCAAAAAGAGAAGAAATATTTCACCCTTAAAAAAATCATACTTAGAATAAAGGTGAAAATAGAAAACGGGTTATATCTACTACCTGAGCTATACTTTCATAGCTTTTCATATTTTTCAGTATCAAGTAAATCCATATTGGAACATCAATCTTCCTCTTTTTTATAGCCCCTGACGGCTAATAGAAACTGGTCACAGGTGCTAATGGATGTTTCCTTCTAATCCATAGGTAAATGGCTGGATATTCACAGCTTTATACCATTCCCTTTTTAGACTTAATTCCCTTTTTAAAGAGCCATTTTTTAAAACTTACTTCCTGCTAAATTATCCTCACTTCTACAACTCTTTATCTATCTGGAGGTAAGTAAAGATAAGTTTCACATAAACAGAATGGTTTAAAACAAGATGGTTTGAACAATTATTTTGGCCTTGTAATGATTAATTTTCTCTACAGAATATTTATTTTCATAAAAATGTCACATTCAGGCTAGTAATAAAATTATTTTGCATGGTGACAATGTAGTGTATTGGAAAGAGTCCTAAAAGACCTAGGTTTTACTCCTGGCTGTACCACATACTACTGATGTGATCTGGGGTAAGGTGTTTGACGTTCTGAGTTTAGTTTGCTTATCTCTGAAATAGTTAAGAAATACTTATCTTACAAGGTTATTTTGACTATTCATCTATATGAATTCACCCGTGTGCTAAGAACAGGGTTAAAGTACTCATGGGTACTTAATAGTGTACCCATAGATGGCTGTTACTATTATTATCATTATACATTCAGCAGTTCATTAGACATTATTGAATTCCTATGGTGTGTTGGGCATTACGTGCTTATAAAAATGAATTGAACACAGCCCTTATTCTCAAGGAATTCATAGCATTGTGGGAAAAATGTAAAATTAGTTTGAATTGATAAATAATGAGGAAGAAAGCTCAGAAATAGGCTTGGGGCAGGAAGAGCTCATTCAAAGCCAAAGAAAGCTTGATGCACAAAGCAAACCAAGAAACCAAGACCATAGTATCATTTCTTTTTTCCTGAAAAGGGCTATACGGTATTGGTCTTATTATATTAATGATGAGACTCTGAAATATACTATAAAGCAATTATATATCTCAAAGTTTCATCATTAAAATTTTCAATTTTATTGTAAAATAATAAGGAAAATGCAGACAGGAAGCAAAAGGAGGAGAATCAAAGTGAAGGGGAGTAAGATGTGAGAACCACGACAGATGATCTGACTTCTTTGTGTGAACTTCATCTTCAATTTCCTCTTCTGTGAAATGGGGGTCATTCTTTTAGTGACCACATAGTTTTGGGATAAGGATGAAAGGTTCATACATGTAAAGCCCTTAAAACAGTGCATGAGACATAGGAAGTACCAATTCATCAGGTATGGTGGAAGAGGAAAGGTTATAGGTCCAAAATAGATGGCCAGTATGACTTCAGAATTTTATGAGATCTTAGACCAGTCACTCTCTGAGCCTCAGGTCTCTCTGCAAAATGAAAGCCATAGGGTAGAAAAATGATTTCTACAATCCTTTTCAGCTTTTGAATTGGGATAAAGTTGCAGAAAAGACGGGGTGGATATGGCCAAGGTCCTGACTTTATGGGGACAGAGACTCCCTGTGAGAGAGGATGGAGGCCTGAGAGGACATCTGGAGGGGGTAGTTCAGGATAGATTTTAATTTCTTCAACATTTTTTTCAGAAAGTGAAGTGGAGATATTTTTGGTTCAGGCTCCTTCCATTAAGTGTTCAGCTAGGCTTTTAACGATTTTTTCCCAAGTAGCATGAGGACATCTTGTAGGTCTCTTGGTCTTTATTTTGGGAGCGGGTGGATCCCTGAGATCCTTACAGAGAAGATCACAATTGAAACACAAACCAGAATCACGAGTCCTCGAGAACTAGGACACTGGCTGAACCAAAAGGGAGGCTCCCTTTTGACCAGCTACCAGACACATGGTGCTTGTGTCTTCTCCCACTCGCTGAGAGCGTTTTCTCCTCGTTAGGCAGCTGACTTCTCATTCCATGACAGATGATGGGAATTTCAACTATGTAAGGAGTAGGGGACCAGGCCCCTGGTGCTTTCCTCCTTCTGGGGCTGTCCCCCTTGCTGACCTCAGGCTTTGTGGTTCACAAAAAGTAAAAGCAGAGTGTTACATTCCCTGAAGTATGCCTTGACATAGTTATTCTGTGCTTTCTTCTCTTGACATTAGTACCAAAAGAGAATAAGAATGTAAACATCTGTTTCATATAAGCTAATTCTAGACTTTTAACTTGATTAGTATAAGCGAATATTTGATGTGATTAATTTTCCAGTTACAACACAATGGCTTTCCGTTCTTTTATTGCTTTCTTAAGGGAGACAAGAGAAGAAAAAAATAACCTAACTTTCTTCTTCTTTTTTTTTTTTCATTTCATAACAGTGCCAAGTATAACCATTATGGTTGGTGCAAAACTAATCTACTTTTAATTCAGTTGTAATAACAAGTTACCTATCCTGTAGAAATGTGCTAAAATAAACATAAAATAATGCTGGGCCTCATTACATAGAGAACCAAACATCCTGGGAAGGATCATTCATTGAGGATAACATCAAACCATCTAGTGATTTGCAGGAGGCAGTTAACAATAAAGCAGTGTATATATATGACTTTATAGCAATCTTCAGGACTCATTCTTCTAAGTCAATGTTTTTCTGAGCTATGCTTTATCAAGCCTGTGTGATGAATGCTTCCAATTAGGTGATCACTTGAAATACTTAACCAGAGAGCAGGATCTTATCTTCTCCAGAGAAGGAAGAAGAATTTCAAGAGAGAAATCTGAATCAGAGAGAGGGTTTTAGTATTGACTTTGCTATAAATGGGCCACACTACTTTTATTTATTTATTTATTTAATTTGAGCCACACTACTTTTAAAAAGATGTTACCTTTTCATACTCCCCCCACCCCCCGAATGTAACCTTAGTGATGAGAACCTATGTGAAGAGATTTTTGAGAGCTAATATGCTGACTGTTAGCATAACACTAGAAATGTTCCACAATCTGTTATACATCTCCACAAAGTTGGCCATTGTTGTATGAATTGGCAGGCAGAGCTCATCTCTTCTCCACTCCCATGTCCTACCTCCTCAGACCTTCTAGGACTTCCTGGGGGAATTTGGAGGTGTGGAGCTGGTCTAGGATAGATCTATGATAGGTTAAGTAAACCAAGCCAGCTCCGGGTAAACAAAAATTCTTTCACTTTTTCCTCTTGTCCCTGTCTCTGACCCAGAGCCTTTAAAGAGTATTTTTGACTTGTGCCTGGTTGGTACTACCTATGCAGATCTCTTCATAAAAAGCAACTGAACAATAATAATACCTCTGATATTGTTCTCACAGTCTCTCCTTGTCTGTCTTATCCATTGCTATTATTTTTAGTTCACGCCCTCAAGATCTCCAGCCCAAGGGCAGTACAGGGAAAGCAGTGAGGTACACTGGTTTGGCAATCAGCAGCCTGGGTTCAAGCCCAGGTTCTACTGCTCATTAACATTGGCCTTTAGACAATTGCTTAAACTCTCCAAGTTTCAGTTTCCTTAGATGAAGAATATTGTTAATATTATTAATGCAACCTACCCCCTATTTTTGTCCTTTTCTCCAATTTGCTTCCCTTACTCTATTTCTCACTCATTGTCTGAATGATTTTGCTGACATATAACTAATTTTTTTTGATCTTCAGCTTCAATTCCTTCAGTATCTTTATATGCCCTCAGGATATGATCTAAGCTCTAATCAGCTTTATGCAGCTACAACCCCACAGTGTCTTACCTCAGGCATCCCCTGTGTGTTTCCTGTCTCTATCCTGGGCTTTTCTATGGATGTCTTGGAGCAGGATACCCAAGAAATCAAATCTGCATCTGTGTATGTGGGACCCAAAAATGTGGGGTTGTTTGGGCCCCATGGGGTAGGTCATTGGCCAATGAGAATGGGAGGTGATGAGTAAGTACTTCCCCTTTTACCACACCGGCTCCCCTTTCTCCTTCACAAGAGTCTTGAGACACCTAATCTCAGGGCTTTTAGTCAGTTCCATGGGACCCAGTAACTGGTAGCATATAGCAGAGGCCAACTTCCTAATGTACCCTTACCCAGGCTCTCCCTTCTTCCCTACTTCATTCCTCCTATCCCTCATGCCTGCAGCCTGGGAATCACACCCAGACCTTCATCTCAGACTCTGTTTTCTGGGGAACTTCTGCCAAGACGGTCAGATAATTTTACAGCTGAGATGAATTTTAGAAATTGTTTAGTATGATGGGTTTATGAAAGACAGAACTGAAGTAATTAGTGGCTAAAGCAAAACTAGATTCACAGACCAGTGCTCCTTCCAACCTCTTAGAGACTGTTTTTAATAATAAAAGCAGGAAACGGGCTAGGATATATTGTTATTTCTGGGCAATACTCTGACTTAAGCAGTACTGTCCTTTTTTTGCCCAACCCTTCCTACCCCCACCCTGGGCCGTGCCCTCTTCCTAACCCAATAATTTCTCCCAATGTGTTTTCTTAGTATTCTCGGCTGACTGCCTGCCAAAGTCTACTTTCAGGGACTCATTTATTTTAAAATGTAAATAAGATTTCTGTCCACAGGCTACCTTGTCTCCAGAGAAATGCATTTCAACAGAGATCAAACTTTATTGAAAAGGAGTAGAAGAGCCCAGGTGCATCTCTCCTGTGTCACAAATCATGTAGTCATCAATTACATGAGACTAAAGTGGAGACATGTATCTGGGATTATGGAAGATAAATGTATATTCTACATCCATACATATATAAGTACAAATGCTTTCTGAGACACTTTCCTTTCTTAACCCTCTTTTCCTACCACAGTGCCCCCTGGACCTTAAGCATATTCTTAAGTGCTACCACCCACTTAGATATCAGGATGTTAGTGAAGCTATAAAAGACTCTCTGTAAACAAATAGATAAAAAAGGCCCCCCCTAGTTCTCTGTTTCTTCCAAAGCATTGTGTCTCCAGTGCATATGCACAAAGGTCAAACTTTCAAAACTGTATCCTCAAATACATATAATAGTAGGCATAGTACTTAAGTTTTACTGTGAGCTTACTACATTGCTAAGGCACTGGGCTAAATTAAGTATAATTGTTCTTAGATTTTATTCTCAGGCAAAGAAAGACAATGATAGTAGAGATATGGGAAACAAATGAGGCAAGTTTTCCCAGTTTACCACCTTCAGAGAGTTTCCAGGTCATGATGTATGGAGGTGGAACCAAGGTAGAACCTAGAAGGCTGCCTGGGTTGAGGAGATAGAGGTGATTGCCCAGGGAGACTAAGAAGCTTGAGTTTGCAGGAGAGAGAACCAGAAGGAGCTATGTAGATAGAAAACTCCAGAGATCTGAATGGAGTCCCCCTTATATATTCAGCTGAGTACTGACCAGCATATGCATGTTAGAAAATGGCCTAAGGCTGAGGAAAGAACCACTTGAAATGTATAAAGATAACTGTGTCTACACTCACATGGGGATGGAAATAGGTCCGTCCCCACCAGTCAGACTGGGAAACCTCATGATTCACAGAGTTTTGGTAGAGTGACAGATGGGTCTTTGCTCAGTAATGGGGAAGAACTAGTTCTAGACTGAATACTTCTTTGGTCTGACCTAACAAATTTTAACAGTAAGTCCCAAAAGGATCAAACTGTTTCCAAATAACTTAACTCTGCCCCAGAAAAAAGCTCAAGAATATTTATAAGAATACAAAAATTTCCCATACCCCAAAGTAAAATTCACAGTGTCTGACATCCAGTCAAAGATTATGAGGCCCAAAAGGAAGCAAAACAATACAACCCATAACAAGCAGAAAAAATCCATTGAAAGTGATGGAGAACTGAAACAGACGTTAAAATTGCCAATCAAGAACATTAAAACAGTTACGTTAAGTGTATTCCACATATTCATACACTTAAAATGAGACATGGAAGATATAACAAAATCTAAATCAAATTTCTAGAGATGAAAAACACACTGGATGGGACAGAATAGAATAGGCAGTGGAGAAGAAAAGACGAGTGAACTTGGAGAAATAGCTATGGAAACTATAAAAAAAATGAAACCCAATGAGAAAAGAACATAATTAAAAAAATGAACTGAGCATCAGTGAGCTGTGCAACAACTTCAGGTGGCCTCATATATGTGAATTCGTGTCCTCACAGGAAAGGACATTATTTGAAGAAATAAAAGCCAAAAATTTCCAGTTTTGATGAAAACCATACACTTACATATAGGAGAAGTTTGATAATCCCTAAGTATAAGAAAAATGAGGGGAACCACACAAAGGCACAATCATAATCAAACTGATTAAAATCAGTGATAATAAGAAAACTCTTAAATGCATCAGAGAAAAAATAGATATATTTATATAAAGTAACAAATGTAAATATGATAGAGATTTCTTACTGGGAACAAGGAAAGCAAGAAGACAGTGAAGTAATATCTTTAAAGTACTGAAAGAAAAATGAAAACCTGTCCATTTAGAATACCCAGAAAAAAAAAATCTTTCAAAATCAAAAGTAAATAAAGACTTTCAAATGCACAAAAGTGAAAGATTTTTTCACCAGCAGAACTACACTACAGGAAATATTAAGACAAGTCCTTCAGGGAGAAGGAAAATGATACCACATGTAAATCTGGATCTATACAAAAAAGTGAATAATACCAGAAATGGTGAGTATCTCAGTAAGTATATTAACTTTTTTCTTATTATTTAGATCTCTTTAAAAGGCAATTGTCTATTTAAACAACAACAAAAAATCAATGTAGTGTGGGGTTTAAAATATAGTAATGTAAAATAAAATGGATGACAATAGCAAAAAAGTTGTGAGGGGAGTAATGGAAATATACAATATTTCCATATTGTATACAATATACAATTATTTTACTATACATGAAGTAGTGTTATTCTTTGAAGGAATATTGTGATTGAGTTTATCTACTATAAACCCTGAAGCAAGCACTGAAATAAAGAGTTATAGCTAATAATCTAGCAATGGAGATACAAAGAATCATAAAAAATATTCAATATACCCCAAAGAAAGCATAAAGCAGGTAGAAAAGAACAAAGAACAGAGGGAACAAATAGAAAAGAAATTGAAGATGGTAGATTTAAGTCTAACCATATACCTAATCACATTGAATGTAAATGGTCTAAATAGCCCAATTAAAAGGTGGAGATTATTCGATTGCATAAAAAAAAAAGTGAGACTGAATTGTATGGTGACTACAAGAAACACACTTCCAGTATAAAGATACAAATAAGGTAAAAGTGACAGGATAGAAGAGGATATATCATGCTAATACTAATTGAAAAAGCTGGAGTGGCTATATTATTATCACCAGATATATTTCAGAACAAATAATATTACCAGGGATAATGAAGATAACTTCATAATGATAAAGGTGTCAGTTAGTTAAGAGAATATAATAACTCTAAATGTTTATGCATCTAATTATAGGGCTTCAAAATGCATGAAGCAAAACTCCCAGAACTACAAGAAGAAATAGACAAACCGAAAATTATAGTCTATGATTTTGACTGATGGAATAGGCAGAAACCAGTAAGAATATAGAAAACTGGAATAATGCTATCAAAAACTTGACTTAATTCACATTTATAGAACATTCCACCCAACAACAAACATTCTTTTTGAGTGCTCCTGGAACATTCACCAAGATGGATCACTTAATCCTTATTAGGTAGGTACTATCATCCTTAGTATTTACAGTTAGGTAACTGTAACTTAGTATTTACAAGTTAGGTAAATTGCAGGAGATACACAGTTATAAGGTGTCACCCCTGGGCTTTGAACCCAGGGTATTTGACCCAGAACTCTTAATCACTAGGCTCTGTGACCTTCCTTGAACACCTGGAACAGCTCAGCTCTCAGTGAAAACTCTAGGACTTAGAATGCAATCCTTTTTAAATAAACAAAGGAGTAGGCTACTCAAATAGCATTCTGTAAATACTACTTGGAAAGGAAGTACTTTCCCAGTCTCCTCTCATATTCCCACTCAGCCCAAATGGCCTGTCTGCTTCCTTTAAGTGACATGACTTATAGGTATCATAAACTCAGGTCCCACCGCTGCTGGGTCTAAAAAAGAAGACAGTTGCAGGCAATAAAATGCTGATGGGAGCTTGCTCTCCCTCAGGCTGCGTCTGTGTGTGAGAGATGGGTGGTCTAATACACAAACGAGGATGGATCAAGATGCACGTTTGCCCCTCTTTAGAATGCCAGGATCCAGACAGCAACTCCTTTTCCACCAAGGAAATACGTTTTTATTAAAATGAAGCAAAGACTCTCTAGCTTGTGGTTGATTTTCTCTGCCTACCTTCTTATCTCTGTTATTAGTTCTAAAATGTATATAATAATTACAACATGGAAAAACTTTGTAATGTTTTCCAGGGCGAGGTTTCCTTACTTATCGGCGAGAAAATGCCATGGAGGGGGAACACCTTTTTAATGGATCTTTGGCTGAGACTTGGCACATGGTTGTTCTATGGGAGGAAATGTGAAATGGGGATATTATTCTGCCTCACCATGCTAAGAGGAGGATTCAAACTGCTCAGGAGCATGAATTTTGATGATGGAATTAAAAAAAAAATCAGTTTTCTCTTCAGTATGCACTCTTTCTCCTCATCCATTCCACTGGACCCTCATCCAGTCTTCACATCCAGCTGCCTTCCCTTCTATCTTTCCTAACTACAATCAGTGGCTCCCCAGTTCCTGCTGTCTCTCTCATTTCCCTCAACAGCCCCTTTCCTTTTCCTCCCGCGACTGGCCCATCCAGCTCTCTCCTCCCTCCCTCCGCAGTCCCTGAGGAGATCAAAGAGTGACAGTGAGGCTGCCTCCGGGAGACACGTTTCCAGCTCCCCCTCCCGGCTGGGCTGAGTTGTGGGCTGCGAGACCGGAGGCTGGGCCGGGGCGTCCTGGCTTCTGGGGGGAAGGGGGGGGGGCGGATTAGGAAAGCGGTGTCTGCAGCAGCACTGCATCCAATAGAAAAGTAAAACTCCCTTTGTCCTAGTTAGCGTGGTGTCCCCTCAAGTTTGGGACTTGGCCGCACATTCTTGAAAGCCATTGTTCGCACTGAAGTTCTTAGGTCAGGAGCAGCGCCGGCGGGAGCGGAGCTGACACTGGGAGCGCTTCCCTGGTACCGAACTGACCCTAGCGTCGGCGGAGAGAGAAGTCGCCCTCCGGGAGGGGGGCTCCAGCGCCTAGGGTGGGGGGCAGCCGCTGGCCAATCAGGAGGCGAGGCCGCGCCGGGCTTCCCCTCCGCGCTCCCGAGCGAGCGGCGCACAGTGGAAAGTTGGGAGCCTGAGTGGCTGGCCCCGGCGGAGAGCGGCGGCGGAGAGCGGCGGCGAGGGCGGCAGGACTCGGCGCGGCGCCGCAGGGCTC